TCTGCTATGTTGTCCTGTGCTTCCCTTCAAGAGCCACTAAGTCAGCCCGGCTGGCGTGGCTCCGTAGTTGAGCACTGACCCAGGAACCAAGAGGTCCCTGGTTGATTCCCAGTCAAGGGCACATGCCCAGTAGGCTGCACGCAAGAGGCAGCTGATCCATGATGTTTCTCCCTAATTGATGTTTCTCTCTCTCCATCCCTCTTGCTTCCTCTGTCTCTAAAAAGCAATACAAAACATTAAAAAAAAAGAAAAGAAAAGAGCCACTAAGTCACCCAGGTGCTGGGATCAGCATGCCCGCCCACCCCTGGATGGCTATGGGCTGGACTGGCACAATGCCCACCTGCCCACTGGCTGCTCTGCCTCTGGACACAAGAGGGAGGGGCGAGTGCAGGAAGGACAAATCCGCTCCCCGCCCCCATCCTGTCTTGAGCCCAGGAGGCTCCTGCTCCCAACCTCACTCCCTGGGGTAGCAGGGCTGGCGGGACCTCCGGCGGGATCTGTTGCCCTTGCTGGCCCCTCTTGGGCAGCCTCTGCCCCGCCTGCTGCCTCTCCTGGAAACGGGACCCTGGTCCTACTCAGTGTGGGACTCACTCAACTCCCCGACCCAACTTCTGGGCCTCATTTTGGGAGGACACGCTCAGTATGGCAAGGGTATGCCTCAGAACACGGTTTTGCAGTTTTCAGGGTCCTCAAGACTTGGGCGAGGCTGGGGAGAGATATGCATGGAGCCCAGGCTGGGAGGCTGAGGGTGGTAGCATTTTCTTCTGTTCTCTGAAAGCAAGGGGAAAGCTCTAGCTTGCTGGGTTCTGGGTCTGCTCTACATTTGTGTTTATAAATCTGTCTTCCCTCAGTTGAGTCCCTGGAAATGCTGATACCCCTCCATGTAACCTTCTCCTGCTTCACATGAGTGAACTGCTTCTGATGTTGTTGTAAGAAATGTCTAAACCTGTGGGGAATTTTTCTAAGTTTATTTGACCCAAGTCGGAGACATTTGCCAGGAAGGAAAGTAACAACAGGTTGAGTAAAGCTCAGGAGAATGGCAGTTTTGCACCTTTTTTTATACATTAGACTATAAGGGGGTGAAATGAAATTAATTGGTGATAAATTAGGTGGGAGAGCTAAGGAGGGAAATCTCTGGGATTGGATAAAAAGTTAAAAAAAATACATAATGTTCTCTTTAAAGCAAGAACAATAATAATTGGGGTTCTGTGATCTTCTGTGTTGGGAGACTGTGCTCTTAGGAGTCTGTGAAACAGAATGTCCCTGAAAATCAAATCCAAAGGTATGTTATCCCAGATGCAAAAAAGACAACAGACAGGCTCAATAAGGTAAAAATTGACCTTACAACACACACACACACACACACCCAACCCCATTCCACACACACACACACACACACACACACACACACACACACACAAAGGCCATAAGTATGCCTGAGACTCACATTTACTTAGAAAGTTTTACTTCAAAACATCCTATATGGTTGCTTTTGGTCTCTGAGTTTGTAAGATTGACCATGCGATGCCAGGCTCCCTGAGCTCGCTAGGTTTACTATGTGCCATCAGTTTTGTCCATACTGGGGACTTAGAACCTGTGGGTTCAGCAGAAAATTCAATGAGTGGCTTATGATCTCTGGGACCCATTGCTTACGTCCTAATGAACACAATGAGTGAAGTATTGCTGGTGTCCCTTTATTTGGTCTCCTAGAAGTAGTCACTCTTCAGGCAATAAAGCATTAGGTTCTAAATGTGGTTGAGGTATTTGTAAGGAACAACAAAAAAAGTCTGTGTCTTTACTGTGGCCTTCCACAATTTATAAGAAGCACCTGCTAATTAAACCCCAAGACTGTAGGCTCCTCTAATTCACACAGATCCTCTGGTCAAACTGCTTAACAACATAAGCCCGGTTGAGGTCGAGCCAACCCCGGTGAGGTCGAGACAGCCCTGGTGAGGTTGGGATGGCGCCAGTGAGGTTGGGACGGCCCTGGTGAGGTTGAAACGGATAATGGGGATCAGTATAGACTGATGAACAGGGGTAGATGCAGAGGCAACGAAGCATTGAACAGACTGTCAAACTACAGTGAGAAGCCTGGGGAGGGCTTGGGGGGGGGGGGTAAGGGATCAACCAAAGGACTTACTTGCATGCATATAAGAATAACCAATGGGCCAAAACCGGTTTGGCTCAGTGGATAGAGCGTCGGCCTGAGGACTGAGGGGTCGCGGGTTCGATTCCGGTCAAGGGCATGTACCGGGGATGTGCAGGAGGCAGCTGATCAATGTTACTCTCTCATCGATGTTTCTGACTCTCTAACTCACTCCCTTCCTCTCTGTAAAAAATCAATAAAATATATTAAAAAAAAAAAAAGTTAGCACGGTTCCCCTAGGGGGTAGGGGAGGCCGAGGGAATGTCAAGGGGGGGGAAAAAAGGAGACATATATAATACTCTTTGTAATACTTTAAGAAATAAAAATTTAAATAAAAGATTTGGAAACAGACCAAGTACCCATCAGTAGAAGAGTAGATACAAAGCTGGGGTACATTTATACCATGGAATACTAAGCAGCAGTAAAAAGGAGGAATCTCTTATCCTTTCACACAGTAAGGAGGGACCTGGAGAGCAACATGCTAAGTGAAATAAGTCAGTCAGAGAAAGACAGTATCAATTGATCTCACTCATATATAGAATCTAATTTAAAAAACATGATTAATGCAGTGAATTCAGAGACATGGAAGCATAGAATGGAGTGTGGAATCTCATACGGGAAAGCAGGGGATGGTAAAAAAAAAAACAAAACAAACGGAAAAACATCCTCAGGTGAGGATTAACCATGTGCACACACACAGTAAACACAAAGTCACCTGAGCCTTGAGCATTTTCTGTTCTCTGAAAGCAGTGGGAAAGATCTAGCTCTCTGTGATCTGGGTCTGCTCTACATTTGTGTTTCTAAATCTGTCTTCAGTCAATTGTGTCCGTGGAAATGCTGACACCCCTGCTGTTGGGGGCCAGATGTAAGCTGGCAAGGTCCTTGCACCTGA